CTCAATATGTAACTATGTATATATTTTGTTTTAAGACCAAACTTTTATACAATCTTAGTTGCACTATTCGCAACACACACTTTGTAAAACAGCGCTTAAAATTGCAATTTACTCGTTCGGTGCCAGCGAGGATCGGACTACATACATCACACGTTAGGGTTGAAATTAAAAAAAAAATCGCTTCCCACTTTACATATAGGGGGGGCTACCGTAATAAAACATTTTTTTCCAATTTTTATTTTACCACTTTGTCGGCGTGATTGATACACATATTGGTACCAAATTTCAGCTTTCTAGTGCTAACGGTCACAGAGATTAAGCGAGGACGGACAGACGGACAGACAGACATGGCGAAACTATAAGGGTTCCTAGTTTACTACGGAACCCTAAAATTGAATGTAAACACAGTTTTTTAAGCCATCACTATATCTTCCGAATCGGACACAACTGTAAGATTTGGTTTGATAAAAATAGCCTAGCGTTTTTTCTCGATACAAAATTGTTTGTCACTATTTGCGGGAGAATCTGCGCATACAAAAACAATTTTCTGTCTTTATGAAACTCACACATAACAGTTAAAACAATAAATTAACAATTTCACACACACAGATATACAATAACAATATCGCTCTTTGAGAGCGACAACTCGGATATATTTCCAATAAAGTAACGTGCCGAGGTTACTTGATGGTTTAACGCATAGAATACTGTAATTCATACATAATAGTGTTGCGCGGCTAAGGACAGGATGAACAGGCCCGCCGACAAGAGGAACAGGCCCGCCGACAGGATGACCAGGATCAACGATGTAACCTACCGGATACAGAAAGGCGCAAGAGGGATTCCTAAGATCGTTCATGTGGATCGCCTGGCGCGTTAGTATGGGGCCGATAATGCTCGGGACGAGCATGTCTTAGGAGGGGGCAGTGTTGCGCGGCTAAGTTGACATTTCATCTCATGGCACTAGCGCCATCTAGTGTCGGGTAACAGAGCGAGGAGAGAGCTTTCCAGAAAATGACATGACTAATTTTTTTAACCGACAGCGCCATCTAGTATCAAATTGAAGAACTAAACTTTCTAGAAGCTCTACACTCGATCTTTCTGCGCTTCGTCGGTTGGCGCGCGTATTTACTCGAATATTCTGGAATATTCTGGATGTTTTCGTGGAAGAGCCCTATATAAAGGCGCTGCAATACGCGATCGGGGAAGGGGAAGTATTGAAGTTGGCGAGACAAGCGAAGCTTCGGAGCGGAATAAAGTGAATCAGTGTGATTAATTATTAGTGTTTTTAACTTTAATTAGTGTAAAGTGAATTAAAGTGTTAATTTAGGTAAATCTATCGGCAATTTTTATTGTCACGAACCTCAAGCTCGTAACAATAGAACGGGGGAGTGGGCGGGCCCGCGTAGCCACTAAAATGTCACTAACACGTGGATTCTCACGTGTAAATGTCAACACGAGATGTGTTTTGACGTTACAATCGTTTCCAAATTTCGCATGCAAATTATTTAAAAAATGCCAATTCGCACCCTATTTACAAATAAATATGTATTAAAATTAAAACGATTTTTTTAATGATGATCTAGTCTAAACTGTGTAAATTTATTCAGTCTGCCAACACAGCAAATCGGGTTTGGCGACGCCAAACCTCGTACAAAATAAAGTTGACAGCTATTCTATTGTGTATTATAGTATTCTATGATTTAGCGTGTAACCTAAGTCATCACTATTGAAGTTGTGAAATAAATCTTTCTTGGATACTCTACCTACCAATATTAATACTTTCATAATTCTTAATTTTAATTTTTGTTAAGTTCTTTAAATTTGGTACATCATATATTTATACTCAGGGTTGTGAATTGCTATACACGTGCTTTTTTGACACATTTTGACTTTCCAGAATAGAGTGAAGGGCACCATTTACTCTTTATACTGAATTTGACATCACATCGTGAAAAAAACTGGTTCTAATAAGTCAATTCCTGAACATGTTTTGGATGCCACAAAACCAAATAGACATTTTACAAACTCCGTGTTTTCGGATAGTAATTGCAGTAAACACTTAATAGGGTTTAATTTTAATGAAGTTAGTGCTTCAGCTCCAGCGGCTGTGATGAATTTCATTAAGATTACATTACAATACTCTTTGGTTATATTACCATACCATATGGTAATATTATCATACTATGCCATATGATAACACTATTGAAGCCATAGTAAATAAATAGTTGTTAGAAGGAATATTTACCGATGTTCGGAGGCCTATAATACACTACCTAAGAAACAGAAGATAATCAGCTTTGAAAACTTCAGACCAATGAGTATATAACCTACCTTATTAAAAAAATTATTGAGAAGTGTGAACAGATGTGTAAAAGAATGACATCCGTTCATTTTTACACAATTACTGTGTTATTACATACTACTAACCTTATTCTTAGCACTACTATTAGTGGACAGGGTACCATTTTAGTGCTACTAGGTTTATCTTTGACATTGTAGTGTAAGTAGAAAACGTCGCGGGCATGTTCGTGGTATTAATCACACTTCTACGGGCGAAGTCACAAAATAAAGTTAAAAATTAAAATTAAAAATTTCCTTTATTTCCAAAAATCCTATTACAAAGATTTGTCGAGTCTTCCCTTTAAGTAGTCAGAGATGGTTGTGTTGGAAATAAAAAAGTGTATCATTATAGAAGGTACAGGTGATACTTCGGAGTCCTTATCAATTTCTAAAGGTGGTATTCGATGTTAATTTTTGGTGCAACATTCTTCGCCATATACACAGCAGACATAAAATAGTAGTGTAACACTCTCACTACTAACTGAATGCCGATGAAAATTTTATAATGCACCATGTATAATGATCGTGTAATAGCGGTGTAATAATATCCACTACTCTAAATCGACCCGCGGGTCTCATAAAAGGCTACAGAGGAAAAATTACATAGCACATACTATGAATATATACATTTATGAAAATTATTTATGTTGATTTACGTCAACGCCAATATTAGTTTAAGACACTGTAATCTTAGTTCATATAGATTTAAAAGTCGGTTGTGACAAAATACCAGCCAGGTGTCAGGTCAGTCGGTCTGATCTCACTTTTGTTATAAATAGCGGCAAAGTCTAGCGGTAACCGTTATTGCGCATAAGTCGAAAATAAGGTATCTTGGGTTAGTAAGCGGGTCGCGGGGCGGGTGTGCGTATCGTCCGCACGCGCTGATTGGCTACGGCTATTGGCGTACTGATATGACATGCGCAGCTATCCCCTTCACGATTTGTTCAGCGCTAGACTTACGTGCCGTAACTTGTATACATACTGTGTTTTGTTTTTATGCTTTAAGTTTCAGACTTTCTTTTGTACATAATTGGGTTAACCTTAACCATGTAAGAATTGAGACAAATAAAAATACTTATTATTATTATATATTAAATGATATTCCTATGAATTTCTCTCTAATACTGACCTCCAAGTCATTTAATTTGAATTGAATTTATTAAAGTTAGCTCTGAAAAGAAAGAGTTTCCGTAAAATATTTTTTTAATAACCTCTTACTATAACTCAATTAGAAATACGTGAATTGTGACTGTGATTGCGCTTTAATACAAGGATTTATCTTTAAGTTAAGCTAGTCCTAGTGTTGAAGTCTTAGTGTTGAACTGCCTCCTCTTTTCTCTTTTCTTTCGTACTCCAGTACTTTCATCCCTTTTTTTATTAAATCATTTTCCGTTACAGCTGTAGATTTGTGAAACTACTTGCTTTTTTCCTTAACAATCTACTTAAAGCTTATTAATTTGAACTGTAATAATTCCTATCTTTCTTCTCGTCCTTTCTTGTTCTGTGTGTTTTATTTTAATTTTATTTTTTAACTTAAATGTATAATTTATGTATTTCTTCCATCTAGCCATTCGTTGTGTACAATCTTTTGCTTAATAAGGTTGTCTGGAAGAAATCGCTTCCACGGTTATAAGACTTGCTACTGTTATTTTTTATTTAATTAATTTTTTTAATGTATATTCGTTTACACGAATTATTGATTGAATCAAAATAGTTTAAAATTTTACAATAGCTTTCATCCCCTATTTTTTTACCCTTATGGTTAAATACGTGTTAATATATTTCTAATAGAAAGCTTTTAATAATGTTATCAAACATGTAATTAAAACAAGGCCCTAAAGGGTAGAATAGGCAAAAATACTAAAACTTAGTTTTTAATCGCAAGCCCACATACAAATTTTAATCGACCCACAAATAAAGGGGTGAATAGAGGCAGATTTGTTAAGTTTTAAAATAAGTATGTATTATCCGTAACTGTCATATTTTCGTTTTAAGTGTATTGCCACCACCATGTTAGAAAACCATTTTTCCATGCAATAATTTTACCCGTTTATTAACACTTCATGGTTAGATTTTCGAAACATTAAAATGCCTATTTAATTATTTTAATCCAAAGCTTAGGGTAAAAAGTTTCTATAATTGTTAAATAATTTTTTGCTATGCAAATATGAAATCACCTCGCAAAATAACTTACGTGGCGGTGTAAGAATATGCACAGCCCCATATAGTCCCGTGAGTTTCATAAGAGGCGACAGAGAGAAAAGGCCTGAAGATGGGCAGCAGCGTCTTACATGCACCGATTTTCAAATTAAAAAAAAATTCTCCATATAAATTTGAACAGCCTATCTATCTATCAACGCACAACCCCTCCTCCCCGCACCTACAGAGTACAGAGTACCTACTTTCAGTAAGTATCGAATCAAAAACCCCTAAAATAAAAGTTTAGCCTCATCAAAGGCATCTTTCATATACTCGTATATAGAGAAATAAGATAGATAGATAGATATACTTTTATATACGGGCAAATAATCTTTATTTACACGTAAGACATCCAGGAAGCCGATGTGTAGCGGTAGACTTGCGAATGACAATGATGATGATGGTAATCTTTATTTATTATTTTATATAATATTTTGCAAAAATACTAATGAACTTACCGTCCATTCTTAGTTACGATCATCTCGTTGGTGAGGGTTTGGAAGCGAACCCACAGTTCTCGGTCGTCGAGAGCTACATTCACCTCGCGCTCCCGGCCGCCGCGAGAGCCGCCGCCGCCTACCGTCGGCTCTACCGCGCTTAGTATGTGCGACGCCGCCATAATTATTACTAGAAAGAAACATTAATAAAACTATATTAGTTAAAATATTATAAACTAAGCAACTTAAGATAATGTATAAGTATGACCTCAGCACTACACTTTTTTAACAGATAAAGGCAGCTTACGTTGTAGGATTTTGAAATTGGCCCCATATTCCGGTGTATATATAAAAACGGCGGTAATAGGCGATTTACAAAATCTTTTTTACAACTTTTTTACGGCAAGTAGTTAAATTCAATTCAATCTTTGCGTGGTTATATGATCGAACGAGTCGTGTAATGTGTTAACGTTTAAAAATAATCGGTTGAGTCGTGTCCATAGACTACTATAATACACAATAGAATGGCTACCACCACCTTATTTTGTACGAGGATCGGTGTCGCCGGGAGCACACATACAAGCAATTACGTCATATTATCACTACTACAAACCCGATTCGCTGTATTGACAGATTGAGCAAATTTACACATTTTAGACTTTTGATTAATGTTTTTAACACATTAATATTTCCTTATTTTTGTTTCTAATATTCACAAAATATAATATTCAGTTTCGACTTACTGGTTGTAGGATTTGTCTCCTTTATTTAAATTCCATTTCCATCTGTTCTTTCGACACGTAACTATTGCACAATTTGCTAATTTTCAAAAAATTTGCATGCAGCGACGCTTGATACGAAAATTGGAAACGATTGATTGTGCTGACACTTATAGGTGTGAATTGACATGTTAGTGACGTGTTAGTGGCTACACGGGCTCCGCCCACTCCCCCGTTCTATTATGTATGTATCATAGTATTCTATGGTCGTGTCAGTAGCTGGTCTAAACGCATGTTCCATAAATAATTGACCCTGTACCCCCCTTTTACCAGACTACTCGTTGCAAAGGAGGGTAATATGTTTATCAGCCTATATATGTAAGCATGTGTATATGTTTGTTCTTTTGTGCTTTTGTGGCGCTTTAGTGAACAAACGCGTGGGCCGAGTTTGAGGATACTTACGTCAATCGATGTGTCTTAATATTGTGAGTGTCACTAAAGACATGACATATTTATAAAAAATGAAATTTGAAGAACTATATTAAGCATTAAATAGAAGATATAAAGGAGTAGCATTTAATAGCTCTTTGTAAATCATCTTAGGTTTTCCCAATAATTTTTCATCAATATCAATTTAAAGTTAATTAGCGACTATTCTCAAATAAGTTTTCAAAACCTATAATAAAACTGTGATTAAGTTCTTATGTAATCTTATGATAGGTCTTATTAGTACATTTTAACCCAGTCAGGATATTAAAAACAGTATTTAACCATTAGCCTTGTTTAATAGTGTTATCCCATTATTTTTTTACTGTGTGTGGTATTAATTATTGCAAGAATTATATTTTTTATTAAACACTTAAGTTTTGTGTGAATTCTTGATTCTTAATTTCTGAATAAATGAAGGTGAAAATAAGTTTTTAAAAAACTACAGCTTTAGCTGCCATATACAACATAATTAACGCACTTTGAGAAAGTAGTTTGTTCAGAATCGTTTACTGAATCGATTCTTATCATTTTTAATAAAAGTAATTTTTATCCCAAAAATAATTACAACTACCTAAATTACAGTCACACTAAAACTATACAGTCAAAACAAACTGAAATGGACCGTAACTTAAGGCAATAAGACTTTCAGGAGTGCAGTTTTATTTGTATTATTACTAATTATGTCATTCAATAAAAATAAAGAAAAATGAACTTTATTTCAAGCACATTAAAGTCTTTGCTTTCGTGGATTTTTACTGTGACCACAACATTCTTCCGGAATTAGTATAACTAATTTGATAAATAATCAGTGCATAAAAATGTTTAACTAAAAATTCAGTGTATGTATTATGATTATAACATAATATACTAATTGCGGTGTCTGAGGGTGTGCGTTAATTACGTTACATACTGTATACAGTGGTGGTCATATAATTAAGAACGCTGATATAAGGGGAAGATTTTTTCAAACTAAAACCACAAAACTAATTGCATGCAATTTTTTTATTTCTCTCGGTATCGTAAAACTTTTCCATAATACCACTGTATTTATTGATACACATGATTAGCTAAAAATAAATAGACAAAATTTTTACACTACTTTTAAACATAGTGTTTCTATTTACTGGCTGGTCACGTAATTAAGAACGCTAAATAATTTATACCTTTATTCAAATTTAAATAGAGAACACTCAGTTGATTTGTTACTGTTTGTATAATTTTGGCGCCATTTAGTGCTGTAAAAGATAGAAAGTGATTGCTTCTTAGGAAAAAACAATGGGAAAAAATAAAAGTTGTGATAAATCTACAAGGGAAGTAATAATAAAACTTCGCCGGAAGAATTGGTCTTATAAAAAGATAGCCGACCACCTGCAATATTCAAAAACGATGGTTTTCCACGCTGTAAAGCATTTTGCTGCGTATCAAACTACTTCGAATGTTCCACGTGTACCTAAAAAGAGAAAAACAGATCCTCGAGATGACCGAAACATTATTCGTATGGCAAAACAAAATCCTTTTAAAGAGTCTAATGAGCTGAAAAAAGAATATTTTAGTGAAAACAACCCTTCAACAATCTCAGCACGCACTATTCGAAGACGTTTGGTAGAAGAAAAATTGCATGGTAGGATAGCAGGAAAGGTACCAATGTTGAAACTTTGCCACAGGTAAGCCCGGCTTGCATTTGCGAGAAAGTATCAAAACTGGACTGTGCGACAGTGGAAAAATGTACTTTTTTCTGACGAGACGAAAATAAACAGAGTATGTTCTGATGGAAAACGATATGTACGACGGCCCTCGAATACAGCATTCAACCCTAAGTACACGACAGTTACATTAAAGCACGGTGGTGGAAATGTTAAAATCTGGGGGTGCTTTTCTGGACATGATGTTGGACCTGTAAAGTTGATAGAAGGTAACATGGATCAGTTCCAATACAAAAATATACTGGAAGAAACAATGTTACCTTATGCTGAAGACGTTCTACCGGTTATTTGGACGTTTCAGCATGCCAATGATCCAAAGCACTTTGCACGCACCGTAAAGGAATTTCTTACAGCGCAATCAGTTTCTGTTTAGACTGGCCAGCTAACAGCCCAGATCTAAATAAATAGAGCATCTGTGGTTCGAAGTAAAGAAAAAGTTTTCAAATACACAGTGTGGGAATTTAAGAGAGCTGTTTATGACGTTTTTTTAGAAGAATGGAACTCTATTTCTATTGCGAAATATCAAAAATTAATAGAGTCAATGCCTCGCCGGTGTAAAGCTGTGATTAAAAGCCGTGGATATGCTATTGACTATTAATTTTAATTAAAAATGTATTAAATTGCTTTCTAAATTTTCCGCGCTACATATTATTGTGATTTTTTTAAATGTAAGTGTCATACAAAATAATTTCCGAGCAGTTTAATAAATCGTTCTTAATTATTTGTCCAGTTTCAGTATTATTTGAATGAGTTACTTTGGTAAAATAAATAAAATGTGAAAAAAATTAGCGATTTTATTATTTATTCCTAAGCCACGTTACTCTATTAATGTGGCTATTTTATAACATAACTAGTTGCTTCTCAGAAGGTGCACATCTCTGTGTACGACATGATTTAAATAAAAAACTTCTAGAACTTCAAATCGTTCTTAATTATGTGACCACAACTATAGATATATGTGTATATAAATAATAGCGATTACTTAATATTCCACTCGTTTTGATTCAAGTTGTTTTGTGATAAGACTTTTCTCGATCAATGAGTATTATAACATATTTCCAAAGTACGCTTTTGCGTTGCATTAACTAATTACAAAATGTTAAAGGTGATCTATTTCAGTGTTTCGTAATTTATTTGTATTTTAATACTTAAGAAAAGTACTGATTAGTTAATAAATAAAAACAAAAATAAAGTTTATTCAACTATTATGAATTACGATATTTTATTAAGTTTAAGAAAATGGTTTGCACTAATTACATCTTTGTGATTAAATTTGAAATGCAGGTAAAACTGGAATTCCAAAATTTCATTTCAAATTAAAACTGCACTAACTTTTTTTATTAAAATCTCTAAAATTATCTAAAGAAGTGTTCATAAACGAGGTTAAGTATAGTGTTTCAATAATTAATACAGTAGGCATATAGTTGTCTTTATTGAATAATGAAACATCAATTTATAATGCACCGTATATAATGAGTAATGACCGTGTAGTGCTAGTGTAAGAATATCCACTACTCCAAATCATCCTGTGGGTGTCCTAAAAGACGACAGAGGGAAACGAATTAGGAGATGGGTCGCAGCGTCTTCCTAATAACGACTAAAAATAAAAAATGCGGTTGCCAACCCGCCCGCCTATCTATGAAATTGGCCTATGTTCAACAATGGACTTTTATATCGACGGCCTCTAAGTCAAACGGACAACTGCAAAAAGTTAATTTTACAGGACGGCGGTTTCAAGGTAAAAAGTAAAATATTTTCTTTGCTGTTGAACAGACTTCAATGAAACTTGACTAAGTGGTTTAAAATTCGATTGTACAAATTATGAGTGACTGCTTTTAGGCTATAAAGCATTGTATTTTGGTTTTTAATGTAGATATTACATTTTTTTAAATAATCTATGTCGTTTAATTCTAGTTTTCTTCTAATTCTATTTTAAATCAATCAAATCTTTGTCAGAGTTTTATCACAGACATTTCCAATCTCCTTCAATTAAAAACACGAACATTTTCCGGATTTATTACACTTATTATAAAAATAACTTACGGAACCTTCTAAAACTACAAGATGAGAGAGTTGTGCTATGTGTAAATGTTAAGTTTACATTTATTGTCACAAGCTGGTCAGAAGTTTTTTCCTAGTTATACATTTTCGTTCTTTGATAAGTGTTTCCAACCATGATTTAATAGTAGTTTTCTTCTCGTATCTATCCAATTGTCTTTCTGAACTTTTCTTCTTTGATTAAGTAGTGTATATTATATATTTCTCTCTTTC